ACCGCTATTGACTCGTTACCTTTTAACGGGTTAACCCCCCCTTGTTTTCTTTGCATGATTGTTTGGTCACGGATCGGTCTAAATAAGCAAATATGCAAACCTGAATTAGGGAGTATAATTAGTCGGATCTCCAGGTAGGAACACCAATCTCTTTTTTCTTAAATTGGTCAGCCAACATCCATCAGCCTGTGCAGACCCTACATACATTTGGAAGGATCTTGAGTATTCTCCTTACTTCCAGATATTTTAGACCTCTGTAGTAATGGGCCACTGGACATGGACCTCTTGGCTTACTGGCTTACTGAGTAGGTTGGGCTCCAGATCCAGGGGTCATTTAGCATTTGCAGTAGATGCTCTGCTGACTCTGTAAGATCAGTTCTACCTCTTCTACCTTTTTTTTTTCTCCCCTGATACTGTTTCCTTCACTGACCTGCAGATTCGAGCCTGGGAGCATTCTGGTCATTTTCTTCACACCAAACTGGCCCAGGAGGGCATGGTGCTTCTACGGCTCCTGGAGGACACTTCATGGCCCCTCCAAGATGATCAGAATCTTCTGCATCGTGGGACAGTCTCACAACCTGCTTCTCACTGTCTTTAGCCATCTGGCTTTTGATACTTAGATCCTGTGGGACAGGGGTCTACTGAATTCAGTTTTCTGGAGGCTAGAGATGCAAATTCCCCTGCAGTCTACCATTACGCTTGTAAGCGTATTCTGCTTAGTGCAAGATTCCATCCCAAGATGTTTTCTGTGGGAGGAATTCTGTCTTCTCCAGTTTAGTCTGGGTCAGCATTTGGCCTTGAGGATCATCATAGGTCAAATCTTAAACTTGATGGTTCCCTTCCCAGAGGCCACTTGCTCCTTACTCTTTTGTGTAGGCTACATATTCATGTATAGCGAGGTCAGTTTTCCTAATCTGAAAGGCCAAATACACAAATTCAGGGAACCTGCAATTTTAACAGTGTAGTAAGAAAAGTGGTCACCTGTTTCCAGTATTCATGATAGGGTAACCACAAATTAAGTGAATGAAATTGTGGTTAATTTCAGTGGATACAATTGGAGGTGGACGCATCTCTCATTTTATAAAAATGATTTTGAATCAAGTAAGTTTGATGAATGATGTGTATTTGTATTAGCATTTGTTGATTGCTGGTGACACTAATCACTCCAATAGACATCATCCAACAAAGGCATGAGAGTTTGCCACTTTGCCTCAACCATGAGGAGTGATATGCCCGATTAGTATGCAATAGTCAGGAATCGAAATCTAAGGCTAACCCCTTGGATCCTTTTGATCTTAGAATACCAATCAAAGGGTAGATAGATATAGGCCAGACATGAGAGTGATATTGTAGCCTGTGGTGACATTGTAAAAAAAACTATAAAAATAAGAGCAAAGAAGATTGTGGGCATCAGTAAAGACTTGCGTAGTTCAGTAAAGGAGTGTAATTCTCTTCCCCTATATACATCACCCAATGCAGTAATCCTATGAGATCAAGGATCAAGTATGGTACTCTGTTAATTTAGGATTGGGTTATTCCACATTAGTAAAGCATCAGGTAATCCCTGAAAGGAAATCAGATGCTCAACCTCATTGCAAATGGCCAGTTTAAGAAGAGGCAGATTAGGTTTGTATGTAAAAAGGGTTGAGGCCTCTAAATGGATTAAAAACTGTAGTATGTCCAACACACTTGCTAGGTGCACCGCTGAGTTTGGAGGAAAGCCAGGAAGGGCCCAGGATACAAGGTGCTACTGCTGACCTGCTAGATAATAAAGGTATAAGTCTGGAAGGGCCATGTCTGCCACCTCTTTAAGACATTATAGAGCAGTTAATCTAAGTTTAGGCCTACTTGTGCCCCGTGAAAATGCCAAAAATGGAAGCTCCATTCAGCATTTTGGGAGGAGAATCATTTAGATTCAATTTATTCTCTCGGCCACTGTCAGTCTAGACCAAATAGGTTTTTTTATATAAGCTATTTCAAAGGAGTGATTGTCCTCCCACTGCCCCCTAAGGCATCCCTAGTCACAATATTGCCCAGATAATTGAATGAGCGTACAATCCTCAGTGGGGAGAAAGGGGACATAGGAACTAAATAATTAAGGGACAGTGACGAGGATTAACTTCTGCCAATTTATTTTAAGACCAGAATAAGTCCCAAATTCCTTTATCATGAACATGTTTCGGAAAATAATATTGTTATCCGCATACAGAACAATGTGTTTACCCTCCCCTAAATCTTATTACCTTGATAATTTTAAATTTTTGTAATCACAAGGACCAGGTCTTTAAAGTGCCAAAGCAAATAAAAGAGGTGACAAGGGACAGTCTTGTGTAGTACCATGACAGAAGTGGAAGGACAGAAAGAGGCCATTTACCAGGATGTTGGATCGAGAATGGGCATAAACTATTGCAATCCATTTTCAGGGCCTATAGCATGGCACATTAAGCATACCTATAAGATTGCCATTTTATTGAATCAAAAGATTTAGCTGTATCTAGGGAAGCCAAAGCACATGTGCCTGAAAGAGAAGGTGCAAGTTGTGCTATAATTTGGGTTCTGCTTATATTAATGGTTGTTGACATGCCAGGCATAAAGCCTCCAATGTCTATTCTTACCTGCAGGGTTGTCTTCTCATTACCATCACTTTTGCGAGGCGAGTTTCCAAGGTGGCAACCTTCACCAGTAAGGAACCTTTTGTTGTATTTCACTAGGACAAGGTTGTTCTGCCTTCTCTCTGGCTACTCCAAAACATCCCATGGAGATTTACATCCAATGGTTATTTAGGGTGTGCTCTGTTTGAGTTTATCTCTGAGCTGCAACATCGTTTTGTCATTCAGGCTCTCTGTTTTTTGTCCTAGTAGGTCAACATAAAGAAAGCCTGCTTCTCTTTCCACCTTCATTGGGGGATTGAGCACTGATTTGCCTGGCTTTAGACCTCTGGGACAAGGCTTCTCCTTTCCCTGTCTGGGCACACTCTATCTCCTTGTATTCTATTCCTACTACATTAAGTTTTACAAGGTGGATGTTAGGGTCCCAGTTGAAGCCAGTTCAGGGGGCTCTGCATCTTTCTGATGAGCCACCTGTGTAACCCTGGGGGTTTTAAGCTTGCATGCTTTCTTGGTTGCTTTGTTGCCCACCCCTTAGTTTGGATGGCTTTTGGGCGTCCCAGTGGTCTAATACCATCCTGTGTGCTGTAATGTACAATTAAGAAAATAAGATTAATGTCTTAAAATGACTAAGTGTTTGGGCAAAATTTTATTGAAATAGTTTGCTGGGCAATGTATAATTGTTTAAACTGAATTCACGTATGAAATAAAAATTTAAAATTTTAGAGTTTAATATTACTTTAAATGAAAAGGCCTCCAGTTTAACAATTATGGCAAACTGTATATGATAGTTTACCCTCCATCCAACTTGAAAGTAAACCTTTGATCAGTAGCATGGATAGCCTACTGGTTACATTGGCACATTGAGCATTAAATTACATTCAAAACAAGCTGTCCCTGACTTCAAACACTGAGGCACAGTGGAGCAATTCAGACCAGAACGACTCCAAACCACTCTCTCATACTATCCTGCTAAGCCCCCTTGCTTCCCTTTGCATCTGATGCTCTTAGCCTTTTCATCTCAGCTTCCTTTTATCCTCCTGTAATCTCCCTGAAAGCCAGTGTACCGTAAACAGAGGCAGTCACAGGACCATGCTATGTGTTTACAGGGCTATGATACAGCAGAGATGTCCCAGAAGAATTTAACATGACAATTCCCACAATGCTATAGCAGTTCACAGGGAAGAACATATGGTGCTGTGCAAAGCTATCCTCAAGGTACTAATGTATAATCATTAATATTGGGGTAGTGGTTGTGATTTCCATAGTTTGGGTGAACGTTTGCCTTAAGAATCTGGATAAAGCTTTTCCACTGCATTTACTATGGAGAATACTAGTGACCTAGTACAATACATTTTATTTTATTTTGCAAAGAGAAAAAAAGAGTGCATGACAGATATATA